AAAAGAAAAAAAAATGGTTTAAGGTAAAAATTTTTTTTAACGAGAATTTATACGAAATTTTTAAAGTTATATAATATAATAAATATGTATTAGTATAATTAGTATCAAGTACTTAAAAAACAATTGATTACTGCGTCAAACTATCATATTAAGTGGCGGCAATAATGTAAAAAAAAGTATAACATTATTGTTGTTGTCATAAATAGATTTTCGCAGTTTTTTTTCTATTTATATGCATATATATATATATAGTAATAGAAGTATTTCTTAATTAGAACACAATGCCTGTTTATGACATCAAATATGCACACGTGTGACGAAGATCCCATTTGATTATTGTTCATAAAGAATTCTACATTGGTTTATGACTAAAAATGACTCCTCGATTAATTACAACTAATTGCGGCATATAAAAATTTAATAGCGGTTGCGGTTGCGGTTCGGCATATGAAAATTGAATTGCCGCTAATTGCGGTTCCCATATTTTTTTATAATAGAGGATATGCGAAGAAAGATTTGAAAACTGTGATTTGATTAAGAGAAAATGAAAATTAATGATCAACAAAAAAACCATTATTATTATTTAATAATCCTCTTCCATATGGAATATGATGATCTATATAAGGGGGAGGAACAGGATGGTAGTCATTTCTATGATAATAAGAATATTGATCATCTCTTGTTCTTCCCTAAAAAATCAAATCAAATAAGACTTATATTTCAATAATTATATTATACATATTTTAATATATATATATTTACTATCATCATATTTCCAGAATTTGAATTTGAGTTTGAACTTGTTGAAGATGAGGAAGAAGAAATATGTGGTGATGATTGTAAAGATTGACCATAATAATAATTATTATTGCTACTATTATTAAAGCTATTATTATTGTTATTATTACTAAAGTAATTATTATTGTTATTACTGTTATTATTATTATTGTTATGATATACTGAATCATAATACATTCCATTCGATGTGGATAAACCACGAACTCTTTTATTAAAAGGCGGTGAAGATTGTTCTTTATAACGTCTATTACCAATATATATTTGACTTTGAAAAGGTATTATTTCCCCATCTGAATTTGAAATTTTGAAAAAAAGATTTAATATTTTTGAGATTAATTGTTTTTTATTCTTGAATAATTAAACATTTACCTTTTTTTAATTCATCATTATTATTGTAGATATTGTTGTTTTTTAATGTAGACATTTTCCTATATTATTAAATCAAAAAAAAGTTATGCGATTTTTTCGGAAATTGTTTCAAAAATCCATAAAAAATAAATCCTTACATTATATTATTATTATTGTTATTACTATTATTATTATTATTATTATTATTATTATTATTATTTGTGTTATTAT